TTGGGGCTTTCCTCCCACATTAAGCTGACACACCGTGATATGACTGGAATACTGTTAAAAGCGGCGTTAAACCAAACTCACTCACTCACCCAACACCATGAGAGAATAGCAATGAGCTAGCAACTTGTGTCAGTGGGACATAGTCTTGAAGTGGCGTTAAGGGATGGTCACGCTTACAGACCTAGTGTATTTGTTTTTAATAAAGCAATGACCCCTGTTCCAATCCCTTTCTTCCACATGTGAAGCCCATTTCTGGTGCCCCGTGATTTGCTGGAATATTGCTAAGAGCGGCGCAAAACAGCACTCACTCATCTCCTCAGCTCCCACAGCCTACACACATCCCCTTTCCAGTCTAGTGACGTGAGAGTTCCTTTATAGCATTAGTATTATATAAAAATTGAATTCAATATTCTTTACGCTTATGTGGGTACATTTTATATACCACACGCGTCCAGACAGCTCTGCTTAAATGCGAGTATGTATTTGTTCCCCGGGGAGTGAATCCGTATGCATTCCAGTTATCATTCTGAACTCCCTGGGGAGTATACAACCTCACGCCCACTCATCCCACTTCGTCTTTTTGTGTCACATAAGATGTTTATTTCATGGCATGACCCGACAGGACTGATACTTCCATGAGTGGTGCAGCCACGAGCGAAATTGTCAATATTTTCAGGTCACGAGATAAAATAAATATGTTATTTGGCAAGAAAAGCCAAAGGTTCTATTATGTATTCCTCGCTGACTTCCGGCGGGGCAGGAAACGCTGACCTTTTCGCGAACACCTGGTATCATGACTATTCGATAGGGATTCCTAAACACATGCTGATTATATATTCGGAATCACACAGTCGACTCTACTTTTGGCAGAGACTTTTTTTATGTATATGGAAAGGATTGTGTTGCTTTTTTTACATGCCTTAGTATGAAAACCACTGTGTCCTTCCGACAGACGAAAAGTAGTTCCATAGAAAGTGTTATTCGACTCGCGTCAAATATCGATTTATTATTTTCATATATAACTGTAGTATTTCATCTCTACAAGCTCTTTGACAAGTAACAAGAAAAGAAAGATGTCAACGACAGCCTACACATTTCTGGAGGTATGTAAGAAAATTGATGTCATTTCCTAAATAATTTACATCTACAATATGATTTGTAGAGTTATCTCACTTAGACGTGGTATAACCCTCCTTTCATTGGTTTAATAACGTTTGTTTGTAACTATTCTTACTATACGGACTCAAAACTAATATATCACTGCCACTATACTGTTCCATGACAGGCTTACAGACTCGGGAGTAATTAATTGTTCATATCTTTTTTTCTTCCACTTGGTTAAAGAAGATGCCGATCTAGTCGACGTACAGACGACACTTGATAAGGAGACAATGGTCTTCCCCGGTGATAACACGGACTGCACATGGACCACTGGTGTCTGGACTGCTACTTCGGTATGTCCCCGTGTCGGGTGTCATTCGGCAAAAACTAAATCTGAACTGAATGGCCCAAATCCACCAGCTTCTCTTGGTTGTGGAAGCTGCAACAGATTACCAAGTACTGCACTTGCCAATCCAACATGCATGACAAACATGATTGTGTCATCTGCAGATGACTGCATAAATGAAGTAACTTTTCTAAGGACAACTAATTGAGATTTTCAACCTTGCTGATATTGACCTAGATAGGGATGTCCTGCTGGATATTCCCGAGTTAACAGATCTTGAGGGTCATCCCATTCTGTCTCAACCTATCAATCACAAAGAATGTCTGCCACCGCCTAAAGTTAGTAACTGAGCCAAATTTTCTTGGTCAATTTCCTCCTGATAGCGACTGCTTCGTGGTCTAATGGTAGAGCGTCCGCCCGGAGAGCGGAAAGTCAGGGGTTCGAACCCCGGCCGCGTCATACCAAAAGACGTTAAAAGATGGTTCTTGTTGTTACCTAGTTCTGCAATGTTATGAAAAGAAATAATCTAGAAACGCATACAAAAGCAAGTCTAGCCAGCCCTAGCTAGCTCTATTCCACATAGGGGTTTTCTTTTTTGAGTCAAGAAGGACATTGTGTAATATAAGATTTCAGAGACTAAATGTTAGTCTAGTTGTTACCCTGTCTGGCGCTCGGCCAAAAGGGGCTAAAACAAGGACTGGTCGGCTCAGAGTCAGTATACTGTATCTGAGTGGGGTATTCATGTTAAACCGCGGCATGGTATCTCAGTGTGCTGGCACTATAAATCGGCATCAGTCCGGACTAGTACCGGCCACACACACACGTGCATGCACGTCACTATATAAGTACAATAATCTTGGACGCGACGTTAAACCCCATTTCACCTCACCTCCTGATAGCATTGTTGTGAGTTCATCCCTATATGATTTTAGTTAGTTTATTTCCATTATCCATTGTATTTCATACTAGTATTTGCGTATAATGTTAATAAACTTTGTTTTTCCTTTTCTTCTTCACTTGCATTATTTTTAATTAAGGTCAGGTAGAAAATAGCGTACATCCTTGAATAACCACCGTATTTCCTTTAATAAACACCACCCGAAGTAATAATTGCCTGCCTTTACAACTTCAGGGGTCAATTTCAACGAAGTGGCACATTAATATTAACAGACTTTCGTTCTAAGAATATATCTATCCCCCACCCTGTCAAAAATGTTCTTCAGAAGCTTCTCCAGTTATTAGGTCTTCTTTGAAAGCGGCACTTGTTTTTACCAGTAAGGAAAACAATGCAGGGTGGAGAACCATGTTATGACAAATGCGTCAGAACTTGCTGTTTGCTTACTACAAATAAACAAACACTAAGGTGCAATTTTGCAAACTTCTCACTTGCTTTTACATCATCTGCAACCGACCCCATAGCATCTTCCCGACATCCTTGTGATACGACACCTTCCGGGAATACCGGCGTTGGATGTTTGTTGTCTGGCAGACATCATAGAATCTGGAGCTGTCAACAGTTTTGACGATATTAATCTGAGAACAAATGCAGACGAAAATTCGCACCGTTCCAAAGCGGATTACTATCCGCTGTAAGTTTTGCATGTCTGTAGAAACACGTCGACATAGGTGTATTTGTATGGCATAATCTTACAGCTAAACGAGTACATGAAGAACAACATTTATGGAAGCATTAAGCTTTATCAACCCTTTGTTATAAGCTTGATCGAGTTTTGGCATTAAGCTTTATCCGCCTTACAAAGAAGCGCGTCTTTGTCCTTGGCAATAAGCTTGATCAAGCTTTGGCAATAGCTTGATCACCCTTGGTAATAAGCTTGATCAGCCTCTTGCAAGGAGCTTGATCAACCTTTGGCAATAGCTTGATCACCTCTTGGAAATAAGCTTGATCTACCCTTTGCGAAAGGTTTGATCATCCCTTTGCATTAAGCTTGATCAACCCTTGGTAATAAGCTTGATCAACCCTTGGCAATAAGCTTGATCAACCCTTGGCAAGAAGCTTGATCAACCCTTGGCAATGAGTTTGATCAACTCTTGGCAATAAGCTTGATCACCCTTGGCAATAAGTTTGATCAACCCTTGGCAATAATCTTGATGAATCCTGGGCATTAAGCATGATCAACCCTTGGCAATAAGCTTGATCATCCCTTGGTAATACGTTTGATCAACCCTTGGCAATGAGTTTGATCATCCCTTGGTAATACGCTTGATCAGCCTTTGGTAAGAAGCTTGATCATCCCTTGGTAATAAGTTTGATCAACATTTGGCATTAAGCATGATCAACCCTTGGCAATAAGCTTGATCATCCCTCGGTAATAAGCTTGATCAGCCTTTGGTAAGAAGCTTGATCATCCCTTGGTAATAAGTTTGATCAACCCTTGGCATTAAGCATGATCAACCCTTGGCAAGAAGCTTGATCAACCTTTGGCAATAAGCTTGGTAATAAGCTTGATCATCCCTTTGCCTTCAGCTTGATCATCCCTTGGTAATAAGCTTGATCAACCCTTGGCCAAAAGCTTGATCAACCCTGGGTAATAAGCTTGGCAATAAGCTTGATCAACCTTTGGCAATAAGCTTGATCATCCCTTTGCCCTCAGCTTGATCAACCCTTGGCCAAGAGCTTGATCAGCCCTTTGCATTAAGCTTGATCAGCCTTTGGCAAGAAGCTAGATCAACCTTTGGCAAGAAGCTAGATCAACCCTTGGCAATAAGCTTGATCAACCCTGGGTAATAAGCTTGGCAATAAGCTTGATCAACCCTTTGTACTACAGTACCCTACTACAGTTACCTGAACGCATTGTCGTTCCTTGTCGTCATGTTCAGTTAAGCCATGACTTTGCAGCTCGCCTGGTCAGCAACGGGGTCGGGTTATCTCACTCAAGGAGTGATTGGTCTAACGACGCTTTCTCCGAATTGTCTCCATCAGCATTTATACTCGCATAATAAAGAAACGCAACACCAGCTTTATACTCATATTAGTTTTACTTACTCTCAGTCCGGGGCGGTCGGGTAGCCTAGTGGTTAAAGCGTTCGCTCGTCACGCCGACGACCCGGGTTCGATTCCCCACATGGGCACAATGTGTGAAGCCCATTTCTGGTGTTCCCCGCCGTGATATTGCTGGAATATTGCTAAAATCGGCGTAAAACCTTTCTCACTCTGTACTCTCAGTCTATCTATCAATACACGTTAGGTTCAGACCGACCAGTCTCGTCACCAAATGGGGAGAACTTAAAACGATCGGGATTCGAGTCGATCGACTGTAAACCGCGCTCTCCTCTGCTAATAATGACGGTATCATGCATCAACCAAGTCAGAGAGACTGACCACCCGATCCCGTTAGTCGTCTCTAAAGACAAGCATTGTCCCCTATTACGGGGTTGCTGGAGACCTATTAGTATTCTAAGCCGGATCTTCACAGGTTGGCCAGGATGTACATGGAATCCATCCTGGAGCGATGTGATATTGTTGGATTATTTGAATCCACACCTTAGGGAACATGACACCCAATCAGTTTAAATAAACAACAGAAAACCCTGATGAGAAACAAAATGCATGTTCTTTATGACAAAATTGCCATTTCCTGAGATCACGTGGGAGTTCTACAGCGTCAGGATGCCGTGGGAACGCCGGGTGGAACTGTCTGGCGGCTGAAACAGGAACTAGATGTACGTCTTATTTGATCAGTGAACCCATTTAAGCAGGACATCATAGCTCGAGGATGACAACGACAGGGCCTTCCTATAAAAAGCTGTTTCACAAGCTCTGTTAACCCAATCGAACCAACCATTGTGTTAACTGGGTTTCGTTTACAACGTCGGCATTCAGTACTAGAGGAAACGGGGCCATTACAAGACCCGTGTTTCCCCTTACACTTGTTACGAGGCACTGTATTTAAAAACATGCATAATGAACAATCGAATAGTAATGTGTACGATACTGTCAACAGCATCAATGTTATGCTGCTACTACTACTACTACTACTACTACTACTACTACTACTACTACTACTACTACTACTGCAACCCATGCTCGTAAGAGGCGACTAACGGGATCGGATGGTCAGGTTCACTGACTTGGTTGATGCATGTCATCGTATCCCAATTGCGTGGAACGATGCACATGCTGTCAATCACTGGATGGTCCGGTCCAGACTCGACCATATACAGACCGCCGTCATAGAGCTTAGATTGGGGTGAATGCGGCGTTAAACAAACAAACAAACAAACAAACTTAAACGACAAAACCTTTTCCATACACAAATAATGAGATGCCATTATTTAAATAATTACCGTTAACTGTATCATCCTTAACACAATGTCACCTGCTATAACACCTCTGATAACGTAGTCCGATAATATCAACCAGGCAACTGAGTTAGGCACAGAAGCTAGGCGCTTTCGGGACCTCTTCCCCTACTCTACAAGCTTATATGACCACTAAAATAACGCCGGAAGTCATTTTGTGACGTCGACATCTGCGTCTTTCACTACCTCGACGGCCACGGCCTTGCACGACGGCGGCGGGGTGAACACTGCGGGGTCCTTGATGCCAACCGTGACGTTCATGAAGTTGGAGTTCTGATACAGCGACACTGTAAGTACATCAGTCAGCTGACCAGGTCACGCAAGTAATCAGTTTATATGAATTACCTTGCACACTGGATGTCAACGTTGATGGGACCAATGATGAGGTGATGGTAAATGAGGATCAAGATTATTGCGGACGTGTAAACGTGTGTGTGTTTGTGGGTGTTGATATACTTACCGACAAAAGAGTGAGTAAGTTGGGTTTTACGCCGCTTTTAACAGTATTACAGTTACATCGCGGTGTGTCAGCTTAATGTGGGAGGAAAGCCCGAAGTGATGCAGTTCTAAGTCGTTTACCACTTCGGTGAAACCCACGAGCACGGGTATGGTGCTGACAAACCTAGAAACATAATTGGGGTTAACCGGGATTCGAACCAACATTCATAGGTTTCTGGCATGCCGAAGGGACGCAACTCTGCACAGTGAATGGCGGCGCCTTAGACGACTGGGCCACCCGTGTCCCCACGGACAAAAGAAAAGCGAATACCATACATGTTGGTCAATATATAAATAACTACTCATATTAAAGAGATATCAGAATGGTTCGATGCACAAACGAACATAATATTATATTGCGCGAACCGACGCTGATGAACGCATCACATGTGACGTCATAGACCCATGACTCGAGATGCCCCATTTGTCTCGTGCAGTATTAGCGTGCAAAGTTTGGAAATCATGTGCAGCATATCGTGATAACAATAAAGACACTCTGTGGTTACACATGACTGATCGTAGTTTTGTCAGTAAGTGGTGCACATTGGAAACATCACTCTTCACTTACAAGGTCCGGGGTTCGATCCCCGGCCGCGTCATACCAAAAGACGTTAAAAGATGGTACTTGTTGTTACCCTGTCTGGCGCTCGGCATTAAGGGGCTAAAACAAGGACTGGTCGGCTCGGAGTCAGTATACTGTGTCTGAGTGGGATATTCATGTTAAACTGCGGCATGGTATCTCAGTGAGCTAGCACTATAAATCGGCATCAGTCCGGACTAGGACAAGCAGCAACAAACACACACACACACACACGTGCATGCACGTCGCTATATAAGTGCAATAATCTTGGACGCGACGTTAAACCCAATTTCACCTCACCTCACCTCTTAACTTACATACTTCTCTTTAATGTTTCTATGGTTCGCGTTTCTTTTTGCGGTCAGTATATACTAGCCCGGACGTACGCTGGTTTACGCTAAGGTACCATTCCACAGTTTAACACGGATACCTCTCTCAGACACAGTAAACTGACACAGTCCTTGTTTTATCCCGTCAGTGCTGAGCACTAAGCATGGTAACAAGAACGGCCATCTTGGAACGTCGCTTGATATGAGGGGCGGTCGGGTAGCCTAGTGGTTAAAGCGTTCGCTTGTCACGCCGAAGACCCGGGTTCGATTCCCGACATGGGTACAATGTGTGAAGCCCATTTCTGGTGTCCCCCGCCGTGATATTGCTGGAATATTGCTAAAAGCGGCGTAAAACCATATTCACTCACTCACTCACTCTTGATATGACGTGACCCGCGGGTTCGAGCCACCGACCAATAAGCGTATGGTCTCATTACACAGGGGATGATGAAATACACAACTCACCTCCGTCAACTTCCCCCATCAGCGTCTCAAACACGGGGACGATGGGGAACTGGTTGAAGGATATGTGGTAGCTGATGTTGTTCAGCTGCCCCGTGAAGCCAACGATCCACAACTCGTCGTTTGGCCCCGCCCCTCCCAGCCACGTCTTGCCCCACGTCATAACAGCGCCCTCTGTAGCAAGAAAGTAGTGGTGTCTATTATAATGTGTGAGTGTGTGAGTGAGTGAGTGAGTGAGTGAGTAGTGTTTTACGCCGCTTTTAGCGATATTCCAGCAATATTCACAGCGGGGGATACCCGGAAATTGAACCCGGGTCTTCTGCGTGACAAGCAAACCCTTTAACCACTAAGCTACCCCACCGCCCCAGTGAATGAGTAAATGCAGCCAAGGCTTAATCAAGCGTATTACCAAGGGCTGATCAAGCTTAATGCCGAGGGCTGATCAATCTTATTGCCAAAGGTTGATCAAGCTTATTGCCAAGAGTTGATCAAGCTTCTTGCCAATGCTTGATCTAGCTTATTACCAAGGGTTGATCAAGCGTAATGCAAAGGGATGATCAAGCTTATTGCCAAGAGATGATCAAGCTTATTACAAAGGGTTGATAAAGCTTATTGCCAAGCTTATAACACAGGGTTGATCAAGCTTATTGCCAAGCTTATAACACAGGGTTGATCAAGCTTGTTGCCAAGAGATGATCAAGCTTATCACAAAGGGTTGGTCAAGATTAGTACCAAGCTTATTACAAAGGGTTGATCAAGCTTATTGCCAATGGTTGATCAAGCTTATTGCCAAGAGATGATCAAGCTTATTACAAAGGGTTGATCAAGATTATTGCCAAGCTTATTGCCAAGCTTATTACACAGGGTTGATCAAGCTTATTGCCAATGGTTGATCAAGCTTATTGCCAAGAGTTGATCAAGCTTATTACAAAGGGTTGATCAAGATTAGTACCAAGCTTATTACAAAGGGTTGATCAAGCTTATTGCCAGTGGTTGATCAAGCTTATTGCCAAGAGATGATCAAGCTTATTACAAAGGGTTGATAAAGCTTATTGCCAAGCTTATAACACAGGGTTGATCAAGCTTATTGCCAAGCTTATAAGACAGGGTTGATCAAGCTTATTGCCAAGAGATGATCAAGCTTATCACAAAGGGTTGGTCAAGCTTATTGCCAAGAGATGATCAAGCTTATTACAAAGGGTTGATCAAGATTAGTACCAAGCTTATTACAAAGGGTTGATCAAGCTTATTGCCGATGGTTGATCAAGCTTATTGCCAAGAGATGATCAAGCTTATTACAAAAGGTTGATCAAGCTTATTGCCAAGAGATGATCAAGCTTATTACAAAGGGTTGATCAAGCTTATTGCCAAGCTTATTGCCAAGCTTATTACACAGGGTTGATCAAGCTTATTGCCAATGGTTGATCAAGCTTATTGCCAAGAGTTGATCAAGCTTATTGCCAATGGTTGATCAAGCTTATTGCCAAGGGTTGATCAAGCTTATTGCCCAGGGTTGATCCAGCTTTTTGCCACTGTATGAAAATAATTTCTTTCCAAACAACATAGACTGGCATGGCTGTTGTTTTTTTATTGAATGAAAGGTTTTTGATCACTTTACATGTGTAAAGCTAGACGGGTAGCCCAGTCGTCTGACACTCGCTGTTTAATAAGCGCGTACCAGGGCGTATCAACCCTTTTATTCCAGATTAGGCCGTACATCCAGGCATTGTCAGCACCATATTCATGCAGGCTGGCTTCACCAACAGGGTACATGTCTGCATCATGTTGTGTTTTCCTCCCACCCCAAGCTCGGCCCGTGAAGATCCGGGGTAGAACATGTCTTCAGCAACCCATGCTTGCCGTAAAAGGTAACTATGTTTGTCGTAAGCGACGACTAACGGGATCGGGTAGTCAGTCTCGCTGACTTAGTTGAAGCATGTCATCGTATCCCAATTGCGTAGATCGATGCTCATGATATCAATCCCCATATTGTCTGGTCCAGACTCGATTATTTTGTTGAAATATTGCCGAGTGCGGAATAAGACAACAAACAAACCTGAAGCTCACGTGATATACCTGACACACTCACTCACGCACTTTCAGATACAGAGTTGTGATCTGACAAGACATGTGTCCTGTACGGTACCTACTCGGTGTACACTGTTTCTTGAACGGCTCTGTCAGTGGCGTTTTTTTACAGGTGGGTCCCTCTATGGTGTACAGGATGCGCTACGACACAGAAGAAACCGCAAAGATGGAGGGGGGTAAATAAAATCAGGGACAATAAACACATGGGAATGCCTCGAGTCACTGCGTCAAAATGATGACGGTTCCGTAATTTCAACAACATTACCCTCTTTTTCATTTCTCCAAAGGGGCGGTGGGGTAGCCTAGTGGTTAAAGCGTTCGCTCATTACGCCGAAGGCCCGCGTTCGATTCCCTACATGAGTACAATGTGCGAAACCCATTTCTGGTGCCTCCGCTGTGATATTGCATGGATTTATCGCCCATGTTTACGTTTCAAACCCAAGACAACTAAAAAAACCAAATTGGGAGTAACATATCTAGGTACATGATGTGACAACACACCGACATTACCTCTTGGTAGTTGTAGATGTAGTCGATCTTGCGGCTGACGCCTCCTGTCGTGCCGCTGGTGAAGAGAGCCAGCCTGGTGTTGTTCAGGTCATACGCCACCCCCGTCAGCAGCTGCGAGTGAGTGAGTGAGTGAGTGGATAGGTGGGTGGGTGAGTGAGTGAGTGAGTGAGTGGGTGGGTGAGTGAGTGAGTGAGTGAGTGAGTGAGTGAGTGAGTGAGTGAGTGAGTGTGTGAGTCAGTGAGTGAGTCAGTGAGTCAGTGAGTGGGTGTGAGTGAGTGAGTGTGGAATGGTAACTGAGTGAGTGAGTGAGTGAGTGAGTGAGTGGTAACTGAGTGAGTGAGTGAGTGTGGAATGGTAACTGAGTGAGTGAGAGAGCTAGAGGGTGAGTAGGGGAGTTCTGGGGTGAGTGAATGTGTGGTTGAGTGGTGAGGTAGTGAGTTGATAGGTGAGCGTGAATTAATGACATGGCGATTAATCAGTGAATTAATCGGGGAATCAACGCATGTAAGGCATATCTATGTCAATGAAATCAAACCCCACCCATGAAGACGGGTCAGAAAAGGTCTTCAGCAACCAACGCTTGTCGTAAGAGACAATCTAGTGACTGACATCTTGAGCATCGATCAACGCATGACATCCATCACCCAAGTCAGCAAGCTGACCACCCGATCCCGTTAGTCGCCTCTTACGACAAGCATGGGTCCAGCATGGGTTGCTGAAGAGACCCGTGAAGAATCCGGGGTAGAATAGGTCTTCAGCAACCCATGCTTGCCGTAAAAGGTGACTATGCTTGTCGTAAAAGGCGACTTACGGGATCGGGTGGTCAGGCTCGCTGACTTCGTTGATGCATGTCATCGATCCCGATTGGGTGGATCGATGCTCATGATATCAATCACTGGATTGTCTGGTCCAGACTCGATTATTTACAGACCGCCGTCATATAGCTGGAATATTGCTGAGTGCGGCGTTAAACATCAAACCAACCAACCAAAGCTGAAGATCAGTTCTACCCGGACAACAAAAACACATGTACAGTTCCATCTGACGAACGGCACGACCACAGCTTGACTACAAAGAACACGTTGCTCTCAATAATGATCAGTTATCTCTTGATTTGATTGTTACAGAGATACAGTTCCCGTTCACAGAACAGATCACCTACCTCGTCTAAAACAACCTGCCCTTCTCGGAAGATACCCCCGTAGGTGCTCTGGTAACCCTCCCACTGGGGGACGGTGCAGTAGGGGTAGTACTGGGCCACGCCCACGCCCCACACTGTCACCAGGAAAACTAACACCCTCTCCATGGCGAGTGAAGAATCTGGAGCAATGGCGTGACCTACAGTGCTTATCAGACTCCAGATCCACAACATAAAACACCTCTATCTGGGACAGTCAATTGTCTTTATCGGGGACTTGACGTTCCTGTGTTCCAAAAAGGCTTGGTTGGTGGTCAACCTTCTTAGGGCTTAAATATCAAATGGTAGACTTGGTTGAGTTAATTTTGTTTTTTTGTTTGTCTGATGTACAAGGCCGCACTCAGGAACGTTCCAGCTATATGATGGCAGTCTGTAAATAATCGAGTCTGGACTAGACAATTAAGTGAGCATCGATCCATGAAATCAGGATACGATATTTTAACATACGTACCGTTAGTCGGCTCTTACGACAAGCACAGTCGCCTTTTACGGCAAACATGGGTTGCTGAAGACCTCTTCTACCCCGGGTCTGGTGGATCAGGTACCAAGGTTAGCCCAGGAAGTAACTACAGTGGTTTGAATACAGAGTCCATCGCACACCTCTCAGTCACCAATGTGATGTTGTGTCTACGACGCCGTCGACTGATGCTGACATCGACCCCGCTGTTACTGAGATGTCGCTGCTGACCTTTCCCCTCTGCCCTACTGGAGGTCACGGTAGGATATAGGCCTATTTGGTCCAGTAGATATGTCACATTTTAAAGTTGAGGGGGAAATATTGATGTACAATTATCATTCATGTTCAAATTCTGACAGCTGGCCTGTTTTCTTTCTTACCTTGCACGTTTTTGCCTTCTGACATGACCAAATATATAAGTATGACTAAAATGAGTAAAACAAGTCCGAATTTTTCGTGACTCAAGATGGCTTATCTTTTGTCTTACCAATGCATGTCGTGGTGTTATGAGTACTAAACATGCAATAGCTGGAAGGGGCAATGGGTATTTGTCATTCATAACAACACATCTAATAACTTTCGTAATGATTTGTAAAGGTGTTCATCATGTCTTAGATTATGCCTTTTTCTTGGGCCAAAAGGTTCCTTTATCAGAATATGATTCACATATAAACCTGTCGGTGAGTTCTTAACCCAAAAGGGAGCGGAGGGGTAGCCTAGTGGTTAAAACGTTCGCGCGTCACCTCGAAGACCCGGGTACAATGTGTGAAGCTCATTTCTGTTGTCCCCGCCGTGATATTGCTGTTGTTAAAAGCGGCGTTAAACCATAATCACTCACTCACTTAACCCTAAACAGACTAAACACTACAAATATCCTTGTCTTCCTATTTTCTCTCTCTATGTTCTTCTCCTGCAGAACAGAATTGTAGAAAATCATGGTGGTCGTTGTGCCCTGGGTCGGGTTTCTGTGAACACCAATATCGCCCTCGTTTTACCCTTCAGGTCGTGCCCCATCACGCCAAACTTCAGTTTGTTGAAATACTAAATAATGTTAAGTAAATGTAACATAAACTAGTATACACAATATCGATAAATATTATCGTGATAGACCCGTTGTGTCAGTTATTGTGAGATAATGTTGAACATCAACATATATAATCTCAGGTGATTTCAGTAAACTAACCTTTATAACTGATCTAAATAAATGTCTGTTACGGTTTCCCAGTTTATGTGTATAAATATTATGAAAGCTGGTGATATGTATCTATTTCTGGAGTCTTGGGGCTCCAGGCAGCACTACCGCTAAACCTTTAAGTAATGGTGGCGTTTCGTTTCTAACCGTGTGCTAAAACGGTCCTTGGGGGGGGGGGGGGGGGGGGGTTGACTAAAACGTAGTCCCAAATTTAAGTCATCTTATTTAAAAAGATTTATTCACAAAAAAATAAAAATAAAATATTGAACCCAGAACAATGTGTGTTAACAGGCCTGGAACTGGGGCAGTCTAGACTTGCCGAATCATTCTAGAATTGAGCTTGATTCCTTTTCTTAATGTAATCTCTCGGGTCTGGTTTCCTTCATGGTTAGAGCGTCCGCCCGGAGAGCGGAAGGTCCAGGGTTCGATCCCGGGCCGCGTCATACAAAAAGACGTTAAAAGATTGTACTTGTTGTTACCCTGTCTGGCGCTCGGCATTAAGGGGCTAAAACAAGGACTGGTCGGCTCGGAGTCAGTATACTGTGCCTGAGTGGGGTATTCATGTTAAACTGTGGCATGGTATCTCAGTGAGCTTGCACTATAAATTGCATCAGTCCGGACTAGTACAAGCAGCCACACGCACACATACACGTGCATGCACGTCGCTATATAAGTGCAATAATCTTGGACGCGACGTTAAACCCAATTTCACCTCACCTCACCTTCATGGTTAGATGAATATGGCGGCTCTGTAGAAGGAGATGACGGATTTAGATGGTTATATGAATATGGCGTCCCTGTAGAAGGAGGTGACGGATTGAGATTGTTAGATGAATATGACGTCAGCAGGTGACGGGTTTAGATGCTTAGATGAATATGACGCCCCTGTAGAAAGAGTTGAGGGACTTAGATCCTTCATGGTTATATGAATATGGCGTCCCTGTAGAAGGAGGTGACGGATTGAGATTGTTAGATGAATATGACGTCAGCAGGTGACGGGTTTAGATGCTTAGATGAATATGACGTCCCTGTAGAAAGAGTTGAGGGACTTAGATCCTTCATGGTTATATGAATATGGCGTCCCTGTAGAAGGAGGTGACGGATTGAGATTGTTAGATGAATATGACGTCAGCAGGTGACGGGTTTAGATGCTTAGATGAACATGACGTCCCTGTAGAAAGAGTTGAGGGACTTAGATCCTTCATGGTTATATGAATATGGCATCCCTGTAGAAGGAGTTGACGGACTTAGATCCTTCATGGTTATATGAATATGACGTCCCTGTAGAAAGAGTTGAGGGACTTAGATCCGTCATGGTTATATGAATATGGCATCCCTGTGTTTGCATCTTCATGTGGTAACTCCCAGACATTCGAAATGGAAGATGGTTGTGATAAGATGATTGTTCATAGATTTTACATGCACGAGCCAAAATATTTTTATTATTATAATTATTGCTCTACATGATACAACTTCAGTGCACCAAAATTGACAAGTGCTCGTTCTTCAACACACTATCGGTGGGGTCGCCAAATGTTAAAAGGGTTTGCTCGTCACGCAGAAAGTCCTGTTTGGATTCCTACAAGCGCATAATACGTGAAATATTGTCAAACCAAAGTTTTTTGAGCGTTTCACCATGGCCAGGAGAAGAAACGGGGTCCACATTACTCTGACGTGAGGTGCGACGTCTTGAGAAAGCGAACGAGCGGGGAAAACGAACACGTGTCCAAATGTCAGGTGACCAGAAACATTATACTGTCCGTCACAACGTCAATCCCTGAAGGAAGGCTTTCAAGTTTTTGAAGATACTGTCTAGGACAGACATAGAACACCTGATAAGATTGTAGACAGATCTTTGTTGAGATTACAGTAACAATGTTGGGAGTCGCGGTTGTCCTTTGGTCATTGACGTCCGTTGTTAACGGTTACTATATATGTGCCCCATACCAGTGGGAGGGAATCCAGGCTGTCGTCACGGGGACGGAGGTGGCAGGGACGTTGACGGTGATCCAGGTGAGTCGACACAGGTGGCCAAGACGCCCTTAAACATTGTAGCCACTGTTGCGTATGTATATCCGTGTTATATCTAGGACGACTATTTAAGTGGGCGATTCCAGGGTAATAACATCGTTTGTTTCGACTACGATCCTCAATCACCCCTTGAATACATACGGCCGCGAGGCATCGAGTCATTATTTGTTTCCAAGGAATCAAGTCTGGTCCCTGCGAGGGGAAACCAAACTGCATCACAGTAACTGCATTATTTGCCTGCAATCTACACATTGCTTACATATCAGGCAACGGTAGAGTTCGCACACAAGTTTTGCTGTTTGTTTGTTATATAACGCCTTACTCAGCAATATTCCAGCTATATGACGGCGGTCTGTAAGTAATCGAGTCTGGACCAGACAATCCAGTGATTGACCTGAACATCGATCCACCAGTTGGTATACGATGACATGTATCAACCAAGTCAGCGAGTCTGACCACCCGATCTGGTAACTCGCCTCTTACAACATGGGTTGATGAAGATCATTTCAACCCCGGATGATCACTGATGCACAAACTATGCATTGAGTTTGACTCACTGGACTTCAGTGAGTTATACCAACCCTATTTCAATACTGGACTTATATCCTACACCGAATATAGGCCGTGTGTATTGACGGGGAGATGAAGAAACCTAGTGTAGACGAGCCTGTGAAGTATTGACGATGGGGATGCCAGGTGCTTAGAGTACAAACAGAGCGTCATATCACATTACAACTGGCTTCAGTCAATTCCAAACCCCTGGGGGACACGGGTGTCACAGTTGTCGCGACACGGAGTTGCGTCCCTTAGTTGTGACAGTTGTTAAACATGTATGGACTTCTTCGCTTCACTTTTTCAGCGACAGCAAGCTGACACACAGTTATATTCTGTAGCTATATCACACACAATATCACACACAACTCACTCACCCTAATTATCTATACATACAACACTGTTCCAGTTTACATCACGGCACACTACAATTCGAGCCTAGACTAGACAAAGCACTGGCTGTAAGCGTGTTCTCGTTGGTTTCACCGAAGTGGTAAACGTCTGAGACCTGCATCACTTCGGGCTTTCCTCCCACATTAATCTGCCACGCCGTGAAATAACTGGAATACTGTTAAACGCGGCGTTAAACATAATTCACTCACTCTAAGGGAATTATGAAATTGACTAGAATTGTCCTCTAAATTGCACCCAGAGATATTCATTTCTGGAGAGGCAGTTATGTTGTGAGTGAGTGAGTTTTGTTTAACGCCGCTTTTAACGTTATTCCAGTTATATCACGGCGTGTCGGCTTAATGTGGGAGGAAAGCCCGAAGTGATGCAGGTCTCAGACTTTTACCACTGACACCTGGCGTTAAACCCAACTCACTCACTCGCTCACTCACTACTGTATACTCTTAAGAAAATATACGTTATATCCTGACAGAGTACAACCAGGTTCTCCTTTGATGTCAACAACACCAGAATAGCTGCCTCAACAACCGGGTCACGGAATGGCGGTTTGTTCAAGAAGGACTTCCTGTTCCTGTATCAGCAGGTACCAATATTGACCCATGAAGATTATTGGTCCCCAGAAACCTGGGGTCGTAAGAGGTGACTTAATGGATAGGGTGGTCAGGGAGACGGTCGATTTGTGTCAATATACCCCGACGACGTGGATCGATGTTCTTAATTTTTTCGAACTTGAGCATCTGGTCCAGACTCGAATATTTACAGGCCGCCGTCATATAGCTGGAATATTAGTGCGGCGTTGAATACCAAACAACAAAAGCATACTGCTTGTATTCCCCCGTGAGGCCCCGACCATGAATAAGTCCCCAGCACTTAATGAATCAGGTGGTCAGACTCTGTCACTCATCATTACGCGTTCTAAAAGAGTCTCAGCTGATGTATTCCCAAGAATCTAGTTGTAGCCAATACCTATGATGGGAATGCTTTGTTTTTGTTTGTTTGTTTGTTTGTTGCTTAACGCCGCACTCAGCAATATTCCAGCTATAGCGGTCTGTAAAATAATCGACCAGACAATCCAGAAATTGACATCATGAGCATCGATCCACGCATTTTTGAAACGATGACATGCATCAACCAAGTCAGCGAGTCTGACCACCCGATCCCGTTAGTGGCCTCTTACGAATAGCATAATCGCCTTTTACGGCAAGTATGGGTTGTTGAAGACCTATTCTATCCCGTATCTTCACGGGTCGCTTGTTTCTACAGAATCCAGGGTCACGTGGGTGCTTGTTTTTCTTTATCAAGTTGAAAACAGATTGGCAGCCCCAACAAATTTGATTCATGCTGTTCAAAAATCACTTGGTTAGTCAACTTATATAATTTATATTGGCATAACATTTACTGATTCACCTAAAAACAAGCAACGACTCAGGATCCTATGACTTCCATTCCTATATTTGAAAATGACCAAAAGACCAAGGAGCGAAGTCTCTCTGTCAGCCATGTTCACGTGTTCCTGTGTTTGTGGTCCTCAGAGAAGAGTTTACATCATGGACGGGGGACGGTGCCGGGCACAGCAACTCCTCCACGACTTCCCGTCTCCATGTCTCCCCCGTAGGTAGCCGAATAGTCGTACATCTATCTCAATGTCTCCCCCGTAGGTAGCCGAATAGTCGTACATCTATCTCAATGTCTCTCCCGTAGGTAGCCGAATAGTCGTACATCTATCTCAATGTCTCCCCCGTAGGTACCCGAATAGTGGTACATCTACCTCAATGTCTCCCCCGTAGGTAGCCGAATAGTGGTACATCTATCTCAGTGTCTCCCCCGTAGGTAGCCGAATAGTGATACATCTATCTCAATGTCTCCCTGTAGGTAGCCGAATAGTGGTACATCTATCTCATTGTCTCCCCCGTAGGTAGCCGAATAGTGGTACATCTATCTCCATAAGGATTGAAAGATTAAATGTTATAAATTTCCGATATTTGCATTTTAGCTATTATTAAAGTTGATTGTTCAGTTAGAGAAATATGATGTCACTTTGCTTTGTTGAGAACAATACAGCATGACGCCATCGATTGTTCCGGAAAATGGTAAACCTCAAAGACCTGCATCACTTCATGCTTTTCTTCCTAATCAACCTGACGCGTGATATAACTGAAATACTGTTCAAGGCGGCGTAAAACCCAACTTAGTGACTAACACATTGTTCATAACGTCACAAATTGATAACGTTCCTCCTCGAGTATGAATGACGTCATTCCCTAGCCAAATCTCGCGTCTAACACTATTCCATAACATGGCGTATTGACCTAGCAGCTCGCTGGTTATTCTACAATTCACCTAACTTGTCCAGTAACATGATTTATTACATTTCTGTGTCGCCTTACACCAAAAACAAAGTTATAGGATAGCCTAATGGTTAAATAGGTGTATTTGGATGAGCACAGTACTCAGAATGGCAAGCTAAGGACAAGACGGCCGCTGCAATGAGGCTAGAATTGGGGATCTCCGGCCATCGTAGAGTCAGAATAAGAACAACAAGAGGAAAACTTGCTATCTGAATTTGAGAAGAAACAACAAAATAAATTTATATACACAGAAATACCGTCAAACTGGCTATTTTCAGCATGTTGATGAGTGGGTGAGTCTTAACGCCGCTTTGAAGAGTATTTCACTTATATCACGGCACGTGAACTTGATGTGGGAAGAAATTCCGAAGTGATGCAAGCCTTATAACCAATGTTAAACGTCACCATCTGCAAATCATTGATGTCATTTGTTTCCCCTTCAGAGAAGTTCACGTTCTCCGGGGGTATCATGTTGTTCGGGCTGCCTGATTCAACCAACAACCTGCATATCCTTGGGTTTAAGGGTGATGTTGGCGACCTGTACTGCCACGTGCAAGCGTCGTATGAGACACACATACCCGTCACTATGCAGCAGACTGGAACTGTCAACAACGGTGAGTCTCTAAATACATTCCGTTAAAATTACCGGACAGGATATTTCCCAGTGCATCATGTATTTAGGCTCTGTTTGTAAAACATTATGAGTGCAGTTATAAATTATAATAGAATTTTGCCGTCTTCCTTTCGAAATCCCCGGAACTGTGACTTTGCCTCTGCAACTTCATCAGGTCCTGGAGGATGGATGTTCCCAGTCGAAAAGCTACAAAGGTCTTCCGGTATCTATGCAGGTGACCTGAGACCAGAGTTACCTCCTTAAGTTTTACCCGTAAGAAAGATAGCAGAATATTGTGTCCTGTCTCAATGGTTTGTTAAGTACCTGCCAATTTCGTTGAGTGACTTGTGATCGTTGCTGGTATTAAATATTAGACATTGTTCTTTGGTTTTTTTTAACCACAATGTGTATTCCAGCTTTCCATGATTTGATCCCAAATTGAAGGCTGACGAGTATGGTTCGCTGGATGCTTCCGGTGAACATTATTCACAATGATTACTGCAAACTGAAGACTCGCAACACGAGTACAGCATATAAGTGATGTTAATGATAGTTGGCTGTCTTGTCACAAGGAAAGTAATGGTGGAGGCCCTCATCCTGGCGGTGGGGTAGCCTAGTGGTTAAAGCGTTCTCTCGTCACGCCGAAGACCCGGGTTCGTGTGTGAAGCCCATTTCTGGTGTTCCCCGCCGTGCTATTGCTAGACTATTGCTAAAAGCAGCGTAAAACCATACTCACTCACTCCCCTCATCCTGGGCCAATGAAAGCCGATGTGTTTCGGCTCAATACATCCGATGACCATTAAAAGTATCACGTTAGCTTGCAACAGGTGTACAGCCTTTAAGGAATATCAGTCATTGGGTTTTGCCTTGTCACAGCGCCCGTGTTCCGGACGACAAACTACGCGAATGTAACAATGGGCATCAAGAACCCGGATGTTTTCACACTCCCGTCTATCTGCAAGACAGCAGAAGTAGAGGTTGGTTAATTTTCCTTGACATTTAAGATTTATTTATTTATAACATAAAGTAAACGATAGCAGTCCACCACTCCCAAATCCTCAAAGAATACTTGAAACATATTTAAGACTTCATATTCCTAATTATATTCGCAACCGCTTTGATTGAAATGAGGGTGGGGGCACTGGTGGCCTAGTCGTCTTAGGCGCCGCGATTCGCTGTGCAGAGTTGCGTCCCTTGGACACGCCAGAAACCTAAGATTGGTTCGAATCCCGGTTCGCCCCAATTATGTTTCTAGGTTAGTCAGCACCATACCCGTGCTTGTGGGTTTCACCGAAGTGGTAAACGTCTGAGACATGCATCACTTCGGGCTTTCCTCCCACATAAAGCTGACACGCCGTGATATATCTGGAATACTGTTAAAAGCGACGTAAAACCCAACTCACTCACTGCTGAAAACCTATTTTAACCAGGATCTTCACGGGTCTATCACCTTGGTGAAACCCACGAACCTGGTATGGTCCTGACACTAATATCCTAATAGAATGGAGACATCATACACTGGAGAATCGAGGATGCGTCCTAACGGACCATCTTTATCAAATCATATGTAGTTGGTATCTGCACTGTAAAACACAAACCTCAGCACGTCCCTTGTCCCATAATTTTGACATGTTTAGATCTAAACATGATGAGGATTGTGTTTGACAGCTAAACGTGTTTAGGCTCTGAATGTGGAAGACCCGTATACCCCCCTTATGGTAATTTTAAAAAGGGGAGCTTTGCATTTTTTTTGCGTTTAATCGGGACACATGTGTGTGTGTGTGTGTGTTTGTGTGAGAGAGGGAGAGAGAGAGAGAGAGAGAGAGAAAGAGAGAGAGAGAGAGAGAGAGAGAGAGAGAGAGAGAGAGAGAGAGAGAGAGAGAGAGAGATACGAACCAGTGGTATATGCGTTATGCAGTACCTGTGAATCTGATCTGCACATCTGATTTAAATATACATCTCATTCAAATTTTACTTAACCCAATGATATGCGCTTCATCTGAACGTACTTAGGTTAAGATTATTTAAGTAATACACAATGATATGCATTCTAACTATATTAAAACAGTAAACATGTTATATTTGGATCATGTGTAGCATTTAACATATTAAAATTCTAAACATGTTCAGATGATGGGGATGTTGTGTTTAGGGAGTGTTTAGCCTGTGAGACAACAGCTCATTTTGTGCAATTAGACCCCAAACGTGTTGTGATAGAACACACCAAATGTGACTTCCGTTTAGGATTTAAACACATTCCCAAACATATCTAGATATAAACATGTCTTGTGTCTGTTTATATTCTAAAAGAACGTTTCTACAGTGAATCTGGATAGTTATTACTCTCATGTTGTATTGCTGATATGTCATTCTCGTATTAATGAACCATGTCCTGATTGGTTGAGTCCATAGTGAAGCTATTTGCCTAAAAACTAACTCAGCTCCTTATATTTTACAGGGTACTTTCGACGCACCTGGTTATTTTATCGGATTCAATTTTCAGTGAGATTGTTTTAGGTTGTCCCAGGGAAGGAGCACTAAGTGATTGTAGGAATAAAGTGAGAGGAGTATTTCCTTCCGACTGGTTTGTCTTAAATGTAATCTCAAAATTATTATGGCGATGTATTATGTCACCAATGACAACGAGAGGCGCCCCTACACATGGAAAGAAGCAAATTAGAAGATAAAAGTTTGGCTGCCAGCCGTCTCCTTGAGTTATCGTTGATAATAATAATCAGAATATTTTTTTCTATATTCACAAGAATATGATTTTACGATTCCCACTATTAAATATCAATTATATACCAGGTGGCGCCTGTGACAAAAAATAAGTCAATTGTTCACCTGAAAAAGCACATTTGTCAAGAATATGGAATTGCATCAGTCATCCTTTTTGTCACTTATGTTGGCAAACATGGATCATGCTATCCCCAAGAAGTCGACCCTGGGTTTATCCAACTTCCAGCAATATTCCAGACATATCACGGTGGAGAACACCAACATTTGACGTGGCACTGTAGAGGATAGATTTCGGGTGTCGACGATCGAACACGTGGACCACTGGGTGACTAAGCCTCCCCTAAAACATTACTAAACCGGAAATTCCAAACAGAACTTCAGTAGATGAAGATTTTGATTGCGTTGTGTACTTTGTGCTGACAGAGTCGCGGTGTTATGTATAATATTGACGTTTCCAACATGGTATTCCACCATACAGGTAGATTCATGGATAAATGCCTACATGATTCCCGGTATCAAGCAGAAATATTTATGTCGTGTTGTAAGATGTACAGAATAGGTCAGCCATCAGGTATCTGACCTGATTCAGCGAGGCCCCCATGACATCCCGGATGTGCAGGGTGTCCCTTTACAATGAATCCCAGGCTGGTCGATCTGTTTCAAGATGCTCACAGTTTCTGGAACATATCTGATAGCTTCTGACAAATTAGATCAATTTATAACCGGTTTACCTATTAATACATCAGGGTTTGGGTCAGTATCGCGACAGGGACATCTGCAGACAAGTTGGGAATCAAACCAGCGTTATGGCGGTAAGAGCAAATGCACACACAACTGGGCTACCTCACCTGCCACACACAGAGGTAATGGATGATAAAGTCAAATAGTAACCCAACTGACTCACTTGAGGACCCAGCTCATTCACTTGAGGACCCAACTGACTCACTTGAGGACCAAACTGACTCACTTGAGGACCCAGCTCACTCACTTGAGGACCCAACTGACTCACTTGAGGACCCAACTGACTCACTTGAGGACCCAACTGACTCACCTGAGGACCCAACTGACTCACTTGAGGACCCAACTGACTCACTTGAGGACCTAACGGACTCACGTGAGGACCCAACTGACTTACCTGAGGACCCAACTGACTCACTTGAGGACCCAACTGACTCACTTGAGGACCCAACTGACTCACTGGAGGACCCAACTGACTCACTTGAGGACCAAACTGACTCACTTGAGGACCCACCTGACTCACTTGAGGACCCAACTGACTCACTTGAGGGCCTAACTGACACACTGGAGGACCCAACTGACTCACCCGAGGAAACCAACTGACTCACTTGAGGACCCAACTGACTCACTTGAGGACCCAACTGACTCACCTGAGGACCCAACTGACTCACTTGAGGACCCAAATGACTCACCCGAGGAAACCAACTGACTCACGTGAGGACCCAACTGACTCACTTGAGGACCAAACTGACTCACTTGAGGACCCAACTGACTCGCTTGAGGACCCAACTGACTCACTTGAGGACCCATCTGACTAATTTGAGGGCCCATCTGACTCACTGGAGGACCCAACTGACACACTTGAGGACCCAACTGACTCACTTGTGGGCCTAACTGACTCACTGGAGGACCCAACTGACTCACCTGAGGACCCAACTGACTCACGTGAGGACCCAAGTCACTCACTTGAGGACCCAACTGACTCACTTGAGGACCCAACTGACTCACCTGAGGACCCAACTGACTCACTTGAGGACCCAACTGACTCACTTGAGGACACAACTGACTCACTTGAGGACCCAACTCACTCACTTGAGGACCCAACTCACTCACTTGAGGACCCAAGTCACTCATTTGAGGACCTAACTGACGCACTTGAGGACCCAACTGACTCACTTGAGGACCCAAATGACTCACCTGAGGACCTAAGAAATAACGAAAGTAATTTGTTGCCTGACACATCACATGCGGCGACGTCATGTAAACAAACCAGACAATAGAGCTATTTGAAACAAACTATGTTAAAATAAACGTGTTATATCTCATGAATAATACTGATACATGCGCTCAAATGCATTTATCACAGACGTAAGCTTATATAGATAAGGTTAGTGGCCTGATGCGTCCTCAAGATGTGTTTAGATGTCACCGAGGACCGGCATCAATGTCCATCAATATCCACCACGTGCATACAGACAATTATGTTTTTAGTACTGGCACACAATACAGAATTGAACATGTGATAAATTTTCCTCTCAGATAAGCATTGCCGTTTATAACCAAATGCTTGGTGTTGAAACCAAAATGAACATAAAAGACGTAAAGGCCATCAAAATATGCTGTCTCAATGGCTGAGAATCTTTTGAAAAAGTTCAAGAGTTCGTACAAGTAGTATTGACGCAGGTGAACCATACACTGATGTTTTAAACTGTTTTGTTCACATCCATAGCTGTTTTCGTTAAACGCCTTTTGATAAAACACAAGCAACACGTATTTATGACTTGACATTTGCGTACCTTGTTCACGCTCAAACCTTTGACCCAACAGGTGTCAGGTGTAAAATTGTAGCATCTATTTCCTCTGTGTAAAGGGTTTTAAATATTTGGATCCATCAGGTATGGCGTTTGTGGTTTGCAATGCATTAAACAATAACTGCAAATAGTTGGTTCTAACACATAGAGATGAGAAGTTAGAGTGTTAGAACAGAACCACTGTGGCTTCAGAGGAGTATAAAAACGGGAAGATATTTACGATAGGCCACTTAAAAGAACATACATTTGGAAAGGATCACATTTATGTCGTGGAATTTTCCGCCCCCAGCTGGAGTGAGGTAGTGAGTGAGTGAGTGAGTGAGTGAGTGAGTTGGGTTTAACGCCGCTTTTAACAGTATTCCAGTTATATCACGGCGTGTCAGCTTAATGTGGGAGGAAAGTCCGAAGTGATGCAGGTCTCAGACGTTTACCACTTCGGTGAAACCCACCAGCACGGGTATGGTGCTGACAAACCTAGAAACATAATTGGGGCGAACCGGGATTCGAGCCAACAATCATAGGTTTCTGGCGTGCCCAAGGGACGCAACTCTGTACAGCGAATCGCGGCGCCTAAGACGACTGTGCCACCCGTGCCCCCGCCCCAAGCTGGAACTGAAGTTACCAAGACACAATCCGTTAAATGTACTTTTTGAAGGGTAGCATGTTTAATCTCAGTATTCATACAAATATGTACCTAAAATGAAAATGTCAGGAGAACGATTTCGTATAAGTTGATAAGCTGTCTGTTTCTTCACTGTATGTCTGTATACTTATAAAGTTGTCTATGTTAAGGTTATTTCGGTATATATTCTACATGTATATGTTATATTCTGACAGATGCCAAAACTAACAAAATAGCTGCGTTTACATCCGGGTCACGGAATGGCAGTTGGTTCCAGACGGACTTCCTGTTCCTGTACCCGCAGGTGGCTCTGCCAAACATCTGAAACCAAACACACCCAGTGCGGTCTAAACACGCTGCAAACCAACTCGGGGGTTGAAATGAGATTCTCGTGTTTAATGATAATCAGCATGGTGTACTTCCTGTCTTGACAGTAGTCCTACGCCCTACATCTTCCCGAGGCAAGGGAGTTAACTGCCTCTAAAAGTCCATTCCAACCCAATTTCCGGGCTCGATCGTGGCGCCACCAGTGGCTATAAAGAGTTATGTCCCTTCTATGCCCCTCCTATTGACCAATCAGATTCCACCACTCACATCACTTGCATTTGCTTCAAACAAAATGGCGACGCCCAGTAAAGCCGATCTGATCGATGATCAAGAAATATATTGTAATAAAACGGGTCTTACATCACGAAGTGCATGAAATCATGTGAGTACCTTGATTAAAAACGTGAAAACATTTGGACAATATCTGTCGACACCCAGTTGACGGTACACATCCTTTGCAAATCCTGCAGTCGACCGAAATCTGCACCGAAATGAAATCCATGTTGTTTACGCGACTTTGATTGGACCATGCATAGTCTCGTTAGTCCAGCCAAACTATAACTCCAAATTGCAGCCTAGTCTGGCAAAGGTGGAAACTAGACTTTTAAAGTCAGTTAACTCCCTTGCCACGGGAAGATGACGTCCTACGAAACATTATCAATGTGAACGCTAAGGAGACTTGTTTGTTTGTTTGTTCGTTTGTTTGTTTAACGCCGCACTCATCAATATTCCAGCCATGTGATGGGGGTCTGTAAATAATCTAATCTAGACCAGACAATCCAGTCATTGACATCATGAGCATCGATCCACGCAATTGGGATACGATGACATGCATCAACCAAGTCAGCGAGCCTGACCACTCGATCCCGTCAGTCGCCTCTTACGACAAGCATAGTCACCTTTTACGGCAAGCATAGTCGCCTTTAACAGCAAGCATAGTTGCTGAAGACCTAATCTACCCCGGATCTTCACGGGTCTCCAGTGAAGAGGTAAGATTGTGATGTGTTGTGTTGATAACAGGTGTTTTGGGGAGAGCGGTTTTCTAATATCTGAGATGACCAATTCTTTGATCCAAGTTGATTTGTTTTTGAAGATTGGGGTAACAATAGAACAGAACTGGTGAAGAATCCATTTCAGGCCACGGATCACTCATCGTCAGATTTTCTCCAGATTTTTAAAATATAATTCGCTTCACTTCTGTACTTGATCTAAGTCTAAAATCTTTGAGTGATCGAAAGAAAACAGGATCGTTGAGGAAAAAAATTAAAGATTTCTATGGGATAAAAATTTGCTATTAAACAGTGGGTCATAAAGGACTTTTATTACACCTCGTACGA